AGTGAGTGAATGAGCAGAGGAGGGCAGAGAGAGAGGGAGAGAATCCCAAGCAAGCTCCATACCTTCAGCATAACTCATGAATTGTGAGATCATGACCTGAGCCAAAATCAAGAGTCAGATGCTTCACTAAACTGGGCCACTCAGGTGCCACAATGGATTTTATCAGACTTAAATTCTTGCTTATCTGGTATGTGTGTTAAGAGTCATCTCATTTAATTTTCAGCACCATATGTCTGATTACAAATGAAATTCAGCTTTTCATATGAGTTTTGGTCATTAGATTTCCTTCTCTGTGAATTGCCTATTTAATTAAGTCTTTTGACCATTTGTTTACCAGGCTGAAGTGACCCTTGCCCCTCCAGATCCACTCACAACTTCTTCACTGTGCTGCATGAGGCTGGCCCGGATGGAGCAGCAAGGAGCTCCCGATCCTCTGACTTCAGCCAGTGGGGAGCATTGGAGGGATGCAGCAGAGGGAAGTTGGGGTACTTAGTTCCCCAATTCTCTCTCTGCAGAGTCACTCGGGGCCAAGACCACAGTTCTTGGCAGGCAGCTGTCTCTAATAACTCTTTCCATTTCTGTGTTCTAAGAGCTGTTACTTCTCCATGTCCTTATGGACTTAGAGGGACAATTTGTGGTGTCCCTACACCCTACTCTCAACTCTGTAAACTGTCCGTTTATAAGGCTCTTCACAAATTTACCAATATGAATTTGCCAGTTCTGTCCCAACATAGATGACTATCATTTTATAAGGAATTTTCAGGTGTTCTTTATTGTGTTTTGGATTTACTCTTTTTTGGTTACATGTGTACAAATATCTTGTCCCACTCAAACTCTTTTCTTCATAGGGGCTTGGAAAAAAGCTATTATAAAATAAAACACAGATATAGAAAATTACATAAAGTAAGGAAGAGCTTAATGGATGGTTTTGAGGCAAACGTCCTCATGAACACCATCAAGGTCAAGTAATAGAATTTTACCAGCTAACTCAAAAGCCCTCCATGTACTCTGTCTCAATCAGTCTCTTCCTTCCCATCTCAAAGTAACTGTTATCTTTAATTTTTATAGTTATCACTCCCTTGCCTTTTTAATAATTTTATCACTTACGATGAAACCCTAAATAATACAGATTAGTTTTGCCAGTTTCATAACTCTTTATAATCTAAATTCTTTCCCTCCTCCCCTACCTTTATACATGTAATTTATTCATGGAAGGGCCTATGTTGTTTGGCTTTTAAGTGATGTAAGTCTGGCTTTTACCTGCTTCCTCATGTACAGGTAAATATGTTACTTTGTCCTCTGTATTTCATTGAAATTGGTAGTTGAATCAAGGGGCTTTATCAAATTCAGGTTAAAAATTTTTTTTTTTAAATTTAAGGGGTGGTGTATTCTTTCAACAGAAGGCACATAATGTCTGATTTTCTCTCCTTTTGACGTGAGCACATTTTCCAGCTCACATAGAAAGACAAGATGTATTTTTCATTTCTTCCCCCTATTTACCAGTTTTCAAGATAATGAGTTTTCTGGGGCACCTGGGTGGCTCAGTTAGTTAAGTGACTTCAGCTCAGGTCATGATCTCACAGTTTGTGCCCCATGTAGGGCTCTATGCTGACAGCTCAGAGCCTGGAGCCTGCTTCGGATTCTGTCTCTCATTCTCTCTCTGTCCCTACCTCACTTGTGCTCTGTCTCTGTCTCTCAAAAATAAATAAATGTTAAAAAATTTTTTTATGGGGTCTGTGGGCTCAGTCGGTTAAACGTCCGACTTCAGCTCAGGTCGTGATCTCACAGTTAAGTGGGTTCGAGCCCCATGTCGGGCTCTGTGCTGACAGCCAGCTCAGAGCCTGGAGCCTGTTTCAGATTCTGTATCTCCCTCTCTCTCTGCCCCTCCCCTGCTCATGCTGTGTGTGTGTGTCTCTCTCTCAGAAGTAAATAAAACATTTTTAAAAAATTTTAAAAATTTAAAGATAATGAATTTGCTAAGATAATGAAGTTTCCTATTGTTCTACAAAAGTGGGATAGTTTTGTTTTGTTTTTTAAATGAACTAATAATGTACTTAAACATATTTGCTGTTTTCCAGTCATTATTGTTGTTATCCCACTGAAGCTCAAATTGTCCCTGTGTAACTATTGGTGTGATAAGTTGACTCCTGAGTCCTTTTGACTGGTTCCTAGCAGTATTTAATAGCATTCTTTTCTGTGGTATGACAGATGTTCCCAGCCCATCTACTTCATTTCCTGCCTCCACCCCAGGATTGCCATTTCTCTAAAAAGGACTGATTGCTCTTAGTAAGAAATGGTATTTCAAGACCACAATATAAGCACCAGGGATACTGTTACTGGGTCTGTCATTTTCTAGGTCTTTTTGGTGGGGGGAAAAATCCACACTAGATGCTCTTTATCAGGTTTGCTAATAGTTTGCTGAGAGGCTTTATTTTTTTGTTTTGTTTTAATGATGAATAGGTATTGAATTTTTGTCAGTGCTTTCTCTGCATTCATGAAGAGGATCGTACAGATTATCTTTTTTATTCTACTAATACAGTGAATTATACTGATTTCAAATGTTAAAAACCAAGTTTGCATTCCAGGCATATACCTGACTTGATCAAAACAGCTCATCTTTTTTATACAGCACTGTGTTTGATTTGCTAAACTCTCATTAGGGATATTTATGTCTGTATTCAAAAGACATATTGATCTGTAGTTTTCTTTCCTTAAATATCTTTGTGTTGGTTTTGTTAGTTAGTTTGTTTGTTTTGAAATCAGAGTAATATTAGCGGCATGAATGAATGGAGAAATATTGCTTCCACTTCTACTTTCTAATGCAGTTGGTGGACAGCTGGTATTATCTCTTCCTGATATGTTTGATAGGATTCACCAGTGAAACCACCCCAGCCTACAGTGGTTTTGTGGCAAGGTTTTTAACTACGAATTTGATTTCTTTAATAAGATACAGAACTAGTTGTGTGATCCAGTTTTCTCTTAAGCTTTGGTAGTTTATGTTTTTCATAAAATTTTTGGATTTCATCTAGCTTGTCAAATTTATTGACATAAAGTGTTCCATAATATCTCCTTATTATCCTTTATTATTTTAAGAATCTGTCCTCATATACTCTTCTTCAGTCCTGATACTGATAGTTTGTATCCTCTCAACTTTTCTTTTTCTGATGAGGCTAGCCAGAGGTTTATCAATTTTACTGATTCTTTTCAAAGGACCAGCTTTAGGAAACAAAAAGATTATTCAGTTGGTTAGTATACACCACCACCAACTGAAAGAACATAGCTGGAATGCATCCTGAAGGACTAGTGTGATGGGGATTTGGCGGTAGCTGAGTATAAGACTGGATAAGGGAGGTTTTATCAATATGGAGTATTAACCTGTGACTTAGGATTTAGCAACCTCAGAAGACCCCTGAAGCCAGTCCTAATGTGCTGCTTATGGCTTCTTTAGTCTTGAGAAAACACACACACACAGGCACACACACATACACTGGCTTGAAGTAAATGAGGAAAGATGCTAGGACTACCCTGGGAGAGTATTGAAAAGGGCCAAAAGGTGTGAAGGAGTGATCAATGCCAAAATGGATATATTACAGAAATCTGAGAACCCGTCAACTGATTGTGTTACCTATGAGGGCCCTGAAGACTGCCTTCCTTAGTGCAGTAAGAAATGTGCCTGTGAAGGGGTCCCAGCATCCCTAAGTGTTCAGTGTTGGCTATCCTCTGTTGGCTGAGATAACAGTAGGGAACACTGCTATGAAACTGTCCCTAATATTAATGAGCATCACAGAATTCTGGAAGAACAGACCAGGTTTAACACTTGACTATTCAAAGTGAAGGTAGATGTCATTGCATAATGGGCAGCAAAACCACAGTGCTGACTACCTGGTCTTGACCCCCTGGAATTTGTGGCAAAGTAGTGACATGAATGGGCAGACAGTAACGGTTTTTATTGACTTAAGCAAAAAAGATTGAGAGCATCTATGCAGAAGGCTGATGTCAGCTGCCAGAAGGAAAAATCATGATTTTTCACCCAGTTTCCTGGCTTCAGCCAGTTCTCAAACCCAGAGCTCACTGATGAAAGTTGAAGCCACGTTCCCTTTAGGAAGGATCCCCATGCCACCACTGAAAGTGTTTACCCCAATCTTTCTCCAAAGGGACCCATGGCCATTTTCCAGAGTACTGAATACCAGAGAGTGAGGAGTACTCAGCTCTTTTGAGGGCTGCTAAATACCAGATCTGAACTGATGTATTTCCAGGAGACCCTAAATATCAACATGGCTTCTTAGAGTAGAGGCCTAGGGAAGCTAGGAATAAGTGGAGTTCTCATCCATTTCATGGTAAATCCATTGTAGTCATTTCCCAAGTACATGATTAAGATGGATATACTCAACAGTCTGCAGAAATATCTTGTTTATTTCATGATCTGTGAGCAAGAGTCATTATGGTGGGAAAGGGAGAGTTCATGCTCCCAAGATTGTATCCCACTCCAGCAAGATAATAAACCTAAAGCAATACTGCTTCTAGCGGAATGGCAGATCCCAAAAGATATAGTAGTCCTCATCATATTCCACTTTAAGTCACCATTCTGACCCCTGGAAAAAAGAGATCGCTGTGGAGGAAGATGGGTTACTGTAAACATAAGCAAATGATAGTCTAATAGTAGTTGTGCAAGTGTTTACTAGAACACATCAAAACAGCCTCTGGCATTCGGTATGGGCTACAGACCTGTTAACTGTATTCTTTTCATCCCCACCAAAGAAAAGTATCAGAAGCAAGTACATTCACTTAGGACAGCAATGCATATTCAGTCTTGCCTCATAGCTACATTAATGCTCTCATTCTCTGTTACAGTATAATCAGGAGGGGCCCTGAGTGTTTGCACAATCCATGGAATGTCACATTGGTCCACTATATTTGTGACATCACAGTAAACAGACACAGTAAACAGAAAATGTCAAGCAGTCTGAAAACCATGGTAATATACATATGCTGAAGTAGACTAGGCAGCCACAGTGGTTAGTTGTGTTGGGTGTTCAGGGAAAGGCTCTCTGAGGAGAATACATGTAAGTAGCAATCAGGGGAGGGAATAGCTAGTGTAAGAGCTGTAAATCCCAATGAATATAGCATTTTTGAGAAACAGGAAGGCCAATGTGGCTGGAGAACAGAGGACAAGGAGTGTGGGGGGTTAGTGAGTGTAGATGTTTGAGAGATGGTTAGGTTACCCACATCATGTAGGATCATGGGCCCCAAGCTAAGATGTGCAAATTGTAACTGACCCATTTGAAATTTCTTTTGATCTAAGCATAATGGGGAAAAAATGAAGGGCTTTCAGCAAGGAAATGATAATGTTTCAACTCTGTTCAGGCCGCTATAACAAAATGCCATAAACTGGGTAACTGATAAACAACAGATTTATTTCTAACAGTTCTAGAGGCTGGGAATCAAGATAAAGATTAACCTGAAGATCAAGATCAAGATGTTAGCATATTCAGGGACTGGTGAGAGCCTACTTCTCAGTTCATAGATAGGCTTTCTGGTGGTGTGCTTATGTGGTGGAAAGAGACAAAACAGCTCTGTGGGTCTCTTTTGAGAGGGCACTAATCCCACTCATGAGGGCTCTACCCTCAGGACCTAAGCACCTGCCAAAAGCCTCACCTCCTAACTCCATCCCATTGGGCATTAGGTTTCAACGTATGAATGTGGGGGGAACACATTCAGTCTGTGGCAGATGATAGGATTTATGGGTTTTTAAAAAATACTTAAAAAAAATCATCTCTACACCCCATATGAGGCTCAAACTCATGACCCTGAGATCAATGGTCAGATGCTCTACTGACTGAACCAGCCGGGTGCCCTGATTTATGTTTTTAACAAGAGCAGTTTGGCTGTGTGTGAAGAATGGATTGCAGGGGTGTGGAAGTGCAAGCAGGATCCTCTGGAAGGTTTTGCATTCACACAGGCTAGAGATATTGGCGCTTGCTCTGATGGCCATAGTGGAGACAGAGAGAGCTGGATGGACTAAGGGTATATTTTATAGGGGTATTACTATATTAGGTACCTTCATTAGGTATCAAAAAGGAAGCATCAGGTATAACAACATTTTTGGTCTGAGCAACCAGATGGTAGTGCCTTTTGGATGGATAAGGCAGATTGAAAGAGGAGGAAATTTGGGGCAGAGATAAATATGTGAAAATAAAAAATTCGAAGTTTGAAATGCTTGGTAATTGCCTCACTACATAAATCTGAATTTCTGGGATGGTGGTAGCCAGAAATGAGAATCTGGAATTGTTGGCCCAATTCATGGTGGGTGGTTTTTTTTTTTTTTGTTTTGTTTTTAAGGTGCCAAATGGTTTGTTTGTTTTTTTGTTTGTTTTCTTCCAAGATTTTATTTAAATTCAAGTTAGTTAACATACAGTGTAGTATTGGTTTCAGGAGTAGAATGCAGTGATTAATCACTTACATATAACACAGTGGTCATCACAAAAGCCCTCCTTAATGCCCATCACCCCTTTAGCCCATCCCCCTACCCACCTGCCCTCCATCAAGTCTGTTTGTTCTCTGTATTTAAGAGAGACTTATGGTTTGCCTCCCTCTCTGTTTTTATCTTATTTTATTCTCATTCACAGGTTTTATTCTCATTCATGAGGTTGAGGAACATCTAGACAGATGGAGATGGCACTCTGGTGTCAAAGTGTTTGGACTTTGAAGACAGACCGAAGTGAGTTTGAATCCTCTTTCTACCACTTATTAGGGAAGTGGCATTGGTTATGTCACTCTGTGTCTCCAGCTCCTCCTCTACAACACGGGGACTGCAGTACCTTCCTCTTCCTCTCAGGGGTGCTGGGAGGATTAAGAGCATATGCGAATCTCCTGGCATCAGTAGCAATAGGGTAGGGACACTGACACCACCATTCATCAGTGAAAGCAACTTGAACTACAGTCTTAGGGCCTAGGAGAAAACATGGCAATTTTACAGACCAAATCTTTGGAACATGAACTCATGTTCCATACTATTAAAAACAGTCTAGGTAAATGCTTATACCAGCCTGGACGAGGGTGGGGCAGGATGTAGAATCCTGAGGTAGGTAGTGCCACGTAGGAACGGTTCTGGGCAACTCATTCACACTTATTTCTAGTGGTTGGTAAAGCTACAAAACATCTTCGGCAGATGAACACATATGTGACCTTCTAGAATAAACATGGAGTTTGAAGTCAGGGTTCAAATCTCCAGTCTGTCTTGACCTTACCCTTAAGTGTGAACTTCAGTCAAGTGGGAGGGCTGCAGCAACACGGACTTCGCGTCTGGAACTTCACTGGCATGAGCAACCCACACTGGCTCCTTCGGGATCCACATATTTAATAAATACGTCAAATGCCATCCTTGTCATCTTTACTTTAATGCAGCTCGTCAGGAGCTTAGCATTGAGGAGCCCTTGAATTTGAAACTTACGGAGCAATTAAACTCCCTCCTGGGAGAATCAAGACTTGGAGACTGTCAGTGCATAGAGATGAGTAATTGCGCATTTGTCTGCCCCTCGCCAGAACAATGGAACACTCCACTGTTCCCCAGAGACTTATGCTGTACTTCAATGAGCCACATGGACCTTGCATATATGTAGTTAAATCTGGGAAACTACTCATCTAATAAACTTGGGGATCGGCTTATCTTCTGTCAATTTCTTTTCATTAGCCATCCTCACAGGAAAGCACTCAATGGCTGCCTGATGTGATTCCTCTCTACCTTATGGGAATGGTCAGTCATGCTGAAGCAACGATGGCCTTGCTGGTAGTCCAAGCACCGACACATCCATGCTGTCATGACAGTGTTTTGAGTAAGAAATGGCCGATCATATTATCCCCATCAGATCCTGGAGCTTAGAGAGATGAAGTGACATGCCCAAGGTCACAAGGAGGCTTTGTTTCTCTGCAAAGCCCAATCCTTAAAGGTAAGGGCTCTGGAATTAGGCACACCTGCATTCAAATCCCCGTTTGGACAGTTATAACCATGTGATTGACCTTAGAGGCTCTGCTCAATGTCCACCCTAATCCCCTTCCCCTCATTGCTGCGGGGAGCACTGCCCAACTTGTGACTGCCAGCACCTGGATTGATGTCCCCCTCCCCCGAGCCTGTTTCACTCCCCCCCCCCACCCCCAACAGCAGGTCAGAAGTGATGACAGGGAGAAGTGACAGGGCTCCTTGGGAGCAGCTTCAACCAAGACTGATTGGAGTTGGTGAAAACTACCCAGCTCCCTCATCCCTCATGTGGGATAATTCTGAAACGTGAGCACACTGGCTTCTCAAGTTTCCCCAGCATGATTAAGTTCTGCTTCTCCACAGTGGCAGCTTGCTTGGTAACAAACATGTCATTGGCTGTCTCACCTTCCTCATCTCATTTCCCCATTTCCTGACTCTTACCTTGAGATCTCTTTTTAATTTTTTTTAATGTTTATTCATTTTTGAGAGACAGGGAGAGACAGAGTGCGAGCAAGGAGGGGCAGAGAGAGAGGGAGACACAGAATCTGAAGCAGGCTCCAGGCTCTGAGCTGTCTGCACAGATTCCGATGTGGGGCTTGAACTCACCAACCGAGAGATCACGACCGGAGCCGAAGTCGGCTGATCAACTGACTGAACCACCCAGGTGCCCCAAGATCTCTTTAAATAAATCCACTGCACTTAAACCATTGTCTTAGGGTCTGTTTCTGGGGAACCTGAACCAAGACCATAACCTTTGACAGATCACTGAACTCCTCTGGAATCCTCAGTTTCCTCATCTGTAAAAAGAGTCTATATATTACTCAACCACCTCACAGGCTTGTAGGGAAGTTTGAAGGACATATTGCCTATGAAGGGTTTTGTACAGTTCTGTTAAAAATTTATAACAACAAAAAATTGGGAAGTGAGCAAAATGTCCAACAAGAAGGGAATGGGTAAATTAATTAGTTTTTATCTGAATGGAAGAATATTACATAATCAGTAAAAATTGATGTTTCCAAAGAATATTCAAAATATGGAGGATTGTACATGAAAATTATACATTACACAATCTGCTGGAAAGCTCAGTGGGGAAAATATATAAAACTATATGTATAAAATTATCTCAATTTTTAAAAATATATTAAAATACATTAGAAGTTATTTACCTCTTGGCAGTGGTGAGTTACTTTCTTTATGTTTTTTCCTATCTTTCAAATTTTAAAAATTTCTTTTTTTGAGTTCATTTATTTTGAGAGAGAGAGAAAGAGAGAGAGCATGAGCATGGGGAAGGAACAGAGGGAGAGACAATCCCAAGCAGGCTCCATGCTCAGCACAGAGGCAGACACAGGGCTCGAACTCACAACTGTGAGATCATGACCTGAGCCCAAATCAAGAGTCCGACACTTAACTGACTGAGGCACACAGGTGCCCCTCAAACTTAAAAATTTTCTAAGTAGACAATGTTATCAGGACAAATGAAATGTTAATTACAGAAATTGATTTTAACTTCAAGATTTCAACTATAATAAAAAACAAAGATGCCTAAAAACAAAATATGTATAAAACTCAAACACTTCGTTTTTGTTTTCCTTTTTCCCAGTCAAATGCACTAGTTATTAAAAGGCAATTCAGCTTTGGTGCAGTATCAACATGGACTGTTAGTAAGAGTAAGGCTTTGCAATGGCCTAATGAGTGTTTAAATCTCAAGTCCTTTGAGTCAAAGCCTCAGGCTTCCGGGTCTTCCTGGGCTCTCCCCATTTTGATCCTGCTCTGAGATTATTTTTCTTCACAATTTCAGTTCAGCTCTTCTCCTGCCTTCCACTTGTGCTGTAGAGTCTAAGCTGAAGTACAAGTTTGGGGCAACTCTATTAACAGACCAGCATCAATGACCTGTTTGGCCCCATTTGCTAGAGCCAGCTCTAGATTAATTTCTTATGATGACTTCTTGCCTTACCTGGCCCTGCCCCATGTCGAGCACCCTTGCACACCAAACTCCATCTACACCCAACCTTCCACAACCTCCATTTATCCCCCACATCTGTAGGCAGAACTTATTCTTACAAAGGAGAAAATTGGTCCACCATCCATACATCCGTCCAACCATCTACCTAATCCTTTCATCTTTCCACTCAGCAAATAATCACTGAGTGTGCTCCTCTGTGCAAGCACCGTGCTAGATTCTTGGGATGTGGAGTCAACTCAGACCCTGTCCCTACCCAACTCCCCAGCCATGAGATAGCAAAGACAAGGTGTTCATGCCTCACTTGTCTTTCCTGGGCCAGTGTGTAGTAGATGCTTGTACTGTCTTGTCCCACAACTCCTCAGCCCATCTGATTTCAGTGCAGCCATAGTGGACAGTTCTGTGCACTTGGCCAGCATCTCTTTTTTTAAGCTTATTTATTTTTGAGGGGAGTGATAGGGTGGAGAGAGAGGGAGACACAGAATCTGAAGCAGGGTCCAGGCTCTGAGCTGTCAGCACAGAGCCCGACACGGGGTTCGAACTAACCTCAGAAATGTGAGATCATGACCTGAGCCAAAGTCGGACGCTTAACTAACTGAGCCACCCAGGCGCCCCAAGGAGGAGTCATTTAACACCATTTCTAAGGTCCCTAGAGGGACTGGGTACCCTTTCCCCTCACTGGTAATTAGCCTACTAACACACCCTTTACTGCATTCTCTCCCTGTTCTGTCTCATTTTGCCTTTTCCTTACTTCTGCTTCCTGGGATCAGCTGGCAAGTAAACTGCTTGTTCTCAGTGGCTTGTCCTAGTCTCTGCTTTTGGAAGAGCCCAAAACTAAGGCACCATGGTAGAGATTACTAATGAATATATGAATGAATAAACAATGATATTATAATGAGGGGGAAGGAGGACGCTGCTGGAGGTGGACAAATGACCACCAGCTGAGACCCCGTTACCCCACCATCCACTTATAATGATAGACCATAGCTTCCAAGTATATGTGCCAGGGTGGTTGCTTGATTGACCACCTTAGAAATACTGAGCATATGAATAATGTGAATGTGGCAAATAATAATAGCTATCCTTGAAGCCACACTTCCATTCGCTAGGGGCTTTGTTCACATCATGTTATTTATTCTTCACAAACCTCCTGTGACCCAGGCATTAATTAATCCTATTTTATAAGTAAAGAAACTGAAGTTCATAGAGGTGGCTCAAGGTCACATGGTGGCGGAGCTGATCTCAGCTGGGTCTGTCAGACACCAGAGTCTACACTCTTGTACCCACCTCTGCACAGGTCTATTACAACACCCAGTCGGGGTCCCAATATTCAAGTTGCTTGGCAAGCAGCTTAAAATGTACACCCTTGAAATCAGGGTGTGCCTTCTCCCTGGGTCTAGGGCCCCCACAGCAGGTCTGTGCAGTGAGTGTAGTAAAGAATGCACAAGTCTGTTACTCACTGTTAACCAAGACTTAAGATAAAGCATTGCTTTATTTATTCTGTCTGGCAGCTCAAGCATGCTCCATGGTGTCTATTACACGGTGATGTTAATTAGGTCCGCAGCACTGCACCTTCTGTATGCAAGGTTCGCCGTGTCACCCGCTGGTCTCGTCTCTCCAGAGGTGTCTGGTTCAGCATCAGGTCTGAGGGCAGAGAGAATCTTTGGGAAGCGGGCATCACCACCATGCCACTGAGCCAAGTATGAAAATGTAGTACCTAGATATCCTGCCTATAGCATTAGGATCTAACAACTTGATGCGCTTTTCATGGTTGCTATAAGACCATCTTTCAGGGTAGGCGATTGGAGGAGGACTCCCTAGAACCCCCAAATGGCAAAACTCCTCAGTGATCACCTACTCCAACAGGCTCATTTTATAGGGAAACTGAGGCTTAGAGAGGGAGAGGGACTTTTCTAAAGTTATGTAAATGCTAATGGGCTGGAATTAGATATTTTTGCTCCCAGTTCTGGCTCTATCTAATGCATCATTTCGAAGTCCCTGCCGCTTGCCCTCCTCCCCTTCTACTGTATGTAGAATGGGTGCATCCAGAGGATGTTCAGGCGTTGTCGCCACTACAGCCACTTCCCCTGAAGTTCCTGAAATGAATCCTGTGAATCAGGAGAGCAATCAGTCTTTTTTTCTTTTGTTTTTTTAAAGTAGACTTCATACCCATCATGGAGCCCAATGTGGGGCTTGAACTCAAGACCCTGAGCTCAAGGCCTGGGCTGAGATCAAGAGTCAGACACTTAACTGACTGAACCACCCAGGCTCCCCAGAAATCTTTCTTTTATTCCATTCCGGAGATAAGATTCAGACTCAGAGGGCAAAGATGACAGCAGCTAAGTGGGGCTTGAATCCACGTTTCTGGGTTAACACTCTTTCTAACAAACCACTCAGCCTGCCCAAGGGTCAATGAATGAATCGACAAAAGAATGAAAGAATGAATGTTAAACTTCCCTAAAGAGTGAATTTAGGCACGCACGATGAGCCAGGCTTAATGTAGCAAAGTTCCCAATCCTGTATATTTGCATTTCAACCAAGTCAGCGTGCCCAGCCCCCTGGAGCTGATCCATGGGCCAGAGCGATGAAGTATTTATTTCACAGCTGTGGACCCTCCACTCGGACCACCACTCAGTGCTCAGCTTTGCTTAGAGCAGGCCCTCAGTGAGTGTATTTAAAACTGAACAGAAATGAGCATGCTGGAGCCACAGCATTCAGCTCTCCAGGAGAAATGTGGAGAGGTGCTGGGGGAGTTAAGGGAGCAGCCTCTCTCTTCCTAACACCGCATCACACCAGGGTTGTTTTGTTTTGTTTACCTTTAATCAAGGCTGGCCTGAAGAAGGAGAGAGAGAGAAACAGGGACACCAAGGCTGAGATACAGGCAAGAGATCTAAACAGGAGCTCACCTACTGACAGGGTCAGGCAAAGGGCTCTTGGCAAGCCTCCCACCCTGGGGACTGGCCTGGCTGGGATCCACATCAGCCTTCACTGGGACTGGGAAGGGGAGGTGGCCTTGACATCCTGCTGGGCTCAGTCCCAGGGAGGCTGGGCCTAGGGGGTGACCCATTAATATGAATGAAATGTTGAGACATTAGACAGAATTTCAAACAGAAACTTAACCTAGGACCTCTGAGTAGGA